CCGTCGGAAGCCACCGTTCCCTCGGTAGAAGTCGCACTGACGACGGCTGTGTTCGAAAATCCACTGCAATGACCGTCAACCACAATTCCGGACACTACGAATAATACCGGTCGGTGCTTCGTCGAGTAGTCAACCAGCCGCAAAACCAGCCGTTCACGCCGGCCCGTCGTCGGAGGTGACGGTTTCGACCAATCGATCAGAATGCTGGACAACTATGAAGGTTGTCTTCAAACCAGCGGTCGGGGTCGTCAACCGCCTCGGGCCAACTGACAAACTTGTCGAACGTTGTGCGCACATACTTCGAAGTACATACGTAGATTGGGGATTTCCTCGCATTCTTTACCAGGTATACGTGTGGCAGAATTTTTTTCTTGCTCACGAAGTATGCTTTGAGTGCTCCGGTCGTCGTAAGCAACAAGACTTCTCATACTCAGGTACTGTAATAGGTTAACTTCTCAGATAACTTCGGTCGTTGCTGAATGTGCTCCCTGGTTTTATCATCTCAATCATCTTTCGCGACCGCTGCACCTGTTTGTGAGTCTGCGAACATTGCTGTTGGATACATGTGCTGGATGATTTTGTGTCACGCAGACTGGTAAGATAACCGTTTGATAGGGGGCACCGCGATGATTCACGGGGCCCCTCCTTGCTGTGGGAGCCGCTCTTTGAGCACTCCCTCTTTCGTCCGTGTGAAGGATGGTCGTCTACCTCCCGTGAAGTTAATACATNCGACGCGGAGCTTGCAAGTTTGCAACGGAAGATTTCGCAATTGGCGGCCCTGGTGGAAGAGTCGGTGAAGGAGAAGGAGCCTGGCAGCGTCGTGGCGGATGCAGCCAGTAGGGGTGGCTGGGTTGCTGCCCCCAGAGGCCAACGAGAAGAGCCCACGCTGCCGCTCGGCGGTGGCGGGGGATTTCTCCAGCAGCAAACGAGAGATAGTGGGCAAGGACCACGGTCGCTGCTGGAAGGCGGCTGGGCCAGCAGATCGGGAGCGAACCCTGTTGGACCAGCCGGAGTGGGCCCGGGCATAGGACCGGACTACGGGGAAGCGAGGGGGTTAAACCCCCCAGGTGAGATACCCGTGATTCGAGGGAATGGAGAATACCTGGACGGCTACAGCAGTAGCCACCAGAAAAGGGTGACGGTCAATGCCCCGCTAGACGGGAAAAGCCGTAGCCACGGGTTTGATTCGTGGCGCAAGTCCTTCATCCAAGCTGCGAAGACCATCGACTTGGACGGGCAGTTTATAGG